TTCTCTTCTGTTATTGTTTATTTCGATGGAGTTTGAAACTAAATTAGACATGACTGGAGTATGGACTAGACCTAAGAGGTACTTAATGTAATTGTGAACCTCTACTTTTATTTTCAACACAGTTAATGTTACATGGTTATGGAGTGAAAAAATTTTAAACCAGTCATCAGCATTGATAAAGAATTAAAGAAAACATGGTCTTAGTTTTAAAGGAATACTTTGATTTTTGGAAATATGGATAAACAAAGGCCACTCTCATATCTGTACTGTAAATATTAGGAGTGTAAGAACATTTTTTTGTTTTGTGATATTGTATCGACTCTCCAAAACACTGTTTTAATTTTTGTGATTCAACCATAAGCAACCTCTGTGGCTGGTAAGTGAAGCCAACATGAAAGTAACAAAACCTGCAGTTCCTCTAATGGCCACTTGAGGCTACAGAAATGTTTACAGCAGAAAACTGTTTTGATCTCTATGGCGTATTTTCCCATTCAAGACAACTGTAGGAACGGTGAATTTGTATATAAATCACCTGTTTACATTAAGGCTTAAAGTTGCGTTTAATTAAGGGATGTGCCGCTTTGAGTGACAGGTGGATGACGTCACAAGTGGCAGCTTTCAGTAACCAGGCTTCATTCAGCCTGACTCAGCTCCAGCCACGTTCCACCTATTTGCCCATCTTTGGATGACCTGGGAGCCAGCGGAGTCAGGACTGCCAAGATGGCAGTTTATTGCAATACATTTAATCGTAATCCCTGTATTGTGATATGTATCATATCGCCAGCTTCTTTCCAATACACAGCCCTAGTAAATATGAAGGTAAAGCCACTGACCGGTTAGCTTAGCATATATATTGGAAACGGGTAGACAGCTAGCTTTGCACTGTCATAAATCCATCAGCACCAAGCTTATTATAACATGTAACATCTTGTTTGTTTTACATGTACTAAAGCCAAAGTCTGAGAACATAAGTTCTCAGCGGTACATCCTGCTCAATCGACTGGACATGTGCAACTCTTAACAGAGATGAAAAGGCAAAATGCAAAAATTCCTTACTTGTCGGTATTAGCTTTGGAAAATGGTCAGCAGTCATGTTAAGTAGCCTAAATATAATGTTTACTAAATATTGACATAAAAAAAAAGTAAAGGATATAAAACAGTAAAGTTCACATTGTGTGGCGACTCACAGGAGAAACCTCACAATGTAAAGCAAACCCAGAACTGTCATAATGTGTTTTAGTCTAATTTACTCTTTACCCTCCCCTGCATCAGTCTTAATTTTATGCTACACATCCTGTGAGTCAGTCCGTGCTCCCAGCGTTTGTACTTTGTGTCACATTCCATGTTGCAGAATTCACAACGTTCATGTGACTGCTAACATGCTGTGTGAACACATAGTATCACACAGCTCTCATGCCCTCAGACCACTAAGGCTGAAAATGTAGGTTTCATGAGGCGGAAATATATTTATCTACAACATGTCAGCCATCGCCTATGCAACACCAATGGAGAGAGGAAGCCATGGTTTCTGCAAGCTTGAAAAGTCGCTTGTGTATAAAATTGCAATAATATGACACACATTTGTGTTGTGGCTGCCACTGGGGAGGCTAAGGCCTGTATGCAACTTGTACAGTGTGATGTAGAAACCTGAATCCACCAGTGCACATCCACTGAGAATGGACTTTACAGTGAAGAAGGAGACATCTTGAAGGAGTAGATACTTTTTAAGGATTTTAATATGGAAACTAAACCTTTTCGTGGAAAAAGGAATTATTATAATTATTATTATATATTATGTAGAAAGAAGGCAGACTCCATTCATAAACGCTAAATCTTACACACTTGACCTTTAAGGGAAAAATACATTGAAGCAAAAGGTAAAAAACACGAAGCGCTGATAATACTGAGTTTGGTATCTTGTCCGTAATAATTACAGTGACAGAGCTGGTTAGAGGTTAGAGTGACTGCCCTGTAAAAGGTCATTCATCCTGATAATGTCAACCTTCTGTCAACAGCTACAGGTACACTCTTGTGAACTTGCTGTGAAATGACCTTAGGCAAGAAACTGAATCCATACCCAGTCTGGCATTGTTCATCAAGGCCTGTACATGGAGACTGTTCCCTTCATATATTTACCACTCTGCTTCATGCTTCATATTATGACGTGTCTTGAGGTTGAAAGTTTACTTTTTGCATGATTAGGTGCTGAAATTGGGTAGATATGTAGATGGATTGTTTCTACAACATGTAGAGAAGACTAATTCCAGTGGTACCCAGATTTGTCATATTGTGATATGAGATATGAGTGTATGAATTTTCACGTTTTATCTTGGAAGAAGATTATATTTATGTTATTTTGTAGTAGAGGACTACAATATATTTTAAGAAATAAAATAACATTTGACCCCCTCTTCTAAAGCTTCTAAAAGGATTATTGTATGCATTGTATTGCATGCTCATTGCTAATTATTCTACTCCACAGACTACTATGACGTTATTTTCAAACCGGGGGTTATTCAGAATGGAGCACTCTGCCATGCCTCAATGGGCAGTCATGATTTAGACACAAAGACGACCCTTTCAGTCCTTGACACAAGTGCCATTTCACAAGCGATGCTGTTTCCCTTTGCATTCAGCTCTCTCTTCTTTCTCGGTTTACGTGTCTTCTTCTGCTCAGAACACACTGCAGCATGCATGAGACATACATTATGTTCTCTTTTTAAAATGTACCTATTTTCTGACAGCTTCCTGGGGACAAGGAAAAGAGGCTACACTGAATTCTGTGTGTAAAAGGGAAGAGAATAAGCACAATAAACCACACAGGATTACACAAAGTCTGCAAAAAATGAGAACATCATCCTCTACACGCCAGCCTTCATAGACTATGGTGGACATTACAAATCTCCCTTTTCTGGCCCACCCAGGAGAGGCAGTGGAGCATTAAATCACATGCTCCTTCAAGAGTGATCACGAACCAAACCTGCAGAAACCTTATTCTCCTGTGTTCGAGGTGCCCCTTGAATCCTTTCTGGGAGCTCAGAACACCATAAACTTTCCCCAGTAATTCTCAGTCAAAGGCAGCGCTCTGATAAAAGTCAGAAACAATTAATGTTTTTCCGGTGAGTTCCTGAAAAAGAGACCCAACCACGGCCCACTGGAGGGTCTCAGAGAAGCCTTTGGGGAACGTTGACTTGGAGAAGAAGATTGCTGCAGTGACGGAGGTGATGGGTAACAAGAACGCCATCCCACCAAAAGGTCCTGACACTGGGACTGGACAGAAAGAGGAAGGGCTTTGCATCAACAGTTCTACAGGTAACATTCTTTTCTCCATCTTATTTTAATATAAAATATGATTGCTATACGCTTTTTGTGTTTGCACACCTCAGGGAGTGCCTTTCCTGCATTACCAGCTAATGTGGATGGTAATGACACTTTATTATATTCTTTAAATCACCCTAGACTACATTTATTAATCTCTTAGCACAGCAGAGAGACACAGAAGAACGATAACACAGGGAAGAACTCAAAGCTTATCATCCATCTGTGGACCACGGTTTCCCACAAACTGCTGTAGTCTTCCGGAAAAAACAGAGCTTAAGATGATCAGGATGATACTAAGCTGTAAGGAAGCCATGGCCAATACTCTTCGATGTTTGCTGTGTACTACACAGCTGGAGCTGATAGGCTATGTTACGTAAGAGTTGCACCATACAGTTACAGCTAATAGCGACTAATTGTCACAGTAATGGCTGCAGGCAAGTGGCTTACAGGCTGTCACCAATGGCAACCTGCTGAGGTAAACAACCTGTTTGTCAGTTAGCTTTAGCATGTACCATGTCTTCTGGGGCTGCAATGACACACACACGCACCCACACACA